CGAGTCCTTACTCGAGTCCTTACTCGAGTAATTTACTTGTGACTCGAGTCTGGACTCGCCGCATGTATTACTCGAGTACTCGAGCCTGGACTCGTTACTCGCACACCTCTAGTGTTCATTTTTTCAGTAGCCACCGTGTCATTGGAGTGAGGATTGGGGTGCCTGTTGATAACGATGTCTGGTTGGCCAAGTTCTCGAGTGTGGACAGAATCACCAGAGCAAAGTTCTGGAACAGATGTAGCATCGTGTCTCTTGTTGCATTGATGCCAAATGATCTCGTTCCTCTTCACCTTCCTTTGACGAACAGACAGGAGATCGGCAGGATTTGGTTAGAAGTTGTCTTGTATGCTGGGAATTTTTGTTTGAAGCTTCCTTCTCTTAAGAAGCTCACTTGGGACAACACAACATTTTGTAACGGGGTAGCCCAGTGTAGTGGGAGGGCAGTACATGGGATCTTTTGCTTTCTTAGGGAGAAGTTTCACCGTATGCACTACTCTTTCTGCCTCACCATTGGTCTCTGGGTTTCTTGAAAATGGTGAAATGGTATGATACAGTTTAACGCCCCTATCAAGACTATTAGGTTATTTAAGAGGCGGGACCTCCGAGTTTACCGTCCATCTCCGATTAAAGGACGCTCGAACCATCAAACCCGAATCTAACCACTAGGCCACCAACGTGGGTATCTTTGGGTTTTTTTTGTAATATGAATGAAGACTAACTCTTTGGCGAAATCTTTGGCTGGAAAATTGAGTGCCATTGTCGGACACAACTGCCTCTGGGATGCCATGAGTAGTAAAAATGGACTTGAGTTTGTTAATAACAAACATGCTGTCAAGCTTTTCAAGCAGAGGTAGCCTCACCCATCTACACCGTTTCCATATCAATATAATATCAATGTAGACAATCCAAATGAAACATAACAGAATTTATTTCACGTAGTCAAATCAAATTCCACATAGAAAGTTCAAACACCAAAACAGAGAGAGCAATGTAACACTCAGTCGCTCAAACATTAAAATGTACCAACAGAGAGTTCAAATTCAACATTGTCAGTACAACTGCAACACGTGGATTTGAAATACATTAGTCATTCTACATGGTCTTGAATACACTAGATTATTGTCTGAATGTCTGTCTGCCTCTGTCTGTCTCAGTCTCTCACTCTCTCTTCCTCACAAACACACACACACACACACACACACACACACATACACACACA